TAGGGTTTGGAATAAAGGCCAATTGGCCTTAGTAAAATTCCATCTTGTTGATGGTGGTTCATCCGTGGGGTTGATAGGAGTAAGAATTGTTGGGAAGTGGTCGCTTCCACAAAGGTCGTCATGGACCGACCATTCGAACTCATTTAAAAGATTAGAATCTGTAAGTGATAGATCGAGAGCAGAGTATGTTCCAGTGGCAGGATTGAGGTAGGTGTTTGATCCATCGTTGAATATGCATACATCATTATTGGAGAGTAACTCTTCAAGTATCTTCCTCTTACTATTTGTATCATTACTCCCCCATAGGGGGTTATGGCCGTTGAAGTCGCCCATGATTATGCAGGGCTTTGGGAGTTGATCATATAAGTTCTGAAGATCTGATAGGCGAACAGTTGAGGTGGGAGGGAGATAGAGGGAACATAGTGTAAACCCTATGTTCAGAGTCATGCCGACAGCAACAGTTTGTAGGTTGGTTTTAAGTGAAACAGGGCTATGAAGGATGCCCTGCCTCACCAGGATAGATGTGCCTCCTGTAGCCTTTACACCGGGAGGAGAAAAGGAGTGGTAGGAACTGTACCGACGGATATCAAATTTGTCGGTCCTTTTTAGGTAGGTTTGTTGGAGACAAAACGCGGATGGTTTGAAGTCTTGAATCAATAACTGTAATTCATTATAATTATTCTTAAGTCCTCTGCAATTCCATTGGATCATGTTTTGTGGATTCATGGTGCTTCCACTGGTGACATGTCACGTGAACGTGAGAAAGCGTTTGATGAACTCTTATTGGTGTCAAGTGGAGTTGGAGTTACCTCCATATCCAGAGGGCCAAAGGAGTTATGGACCTCGATGGGGACCTCTGAAGGAGAGGTGGCCTTTGGTTTTGTGTTTGGCAGTTCAAGTTGTTTTAGTCTCTCTAGCCTCTTTCTTTCCATTTTCCGGCGCGCAGTTTCTGTTTCTGGTTTTGGCATTTGTTCTGGTGTTTGTGATTCAGAAGTTTTGACTTTTGGCGTTGGAGATGGAGTGGCTGAGATAGGCTAAGTTGTGTTGAGTTCAGTTGGCTGAGAAGACGTGACCCATGTCAGGTCGGTCTGACATGAGATGGTTGCAGTAGTGATGGTAGGACGGGAGACAGCAGCAGAGTAGGTGATGGTTGAAGGGGCTGCAGTTAGACTTGCAACCCTCTTCTTTGCTTCATGAAAGGAGATATTTTCTATGTGTTTAATCTTCAGTATCTCGGATTCGCGTTTCCATACTGGGCAGAACTTGGAAGAGGCCATATGGTTACCCCCGCAGTTTGTGCACTTCACTTCCTTAGTACAGTCGTTGCCCTCATGCTTGTCACCACAGCGGTAACAGACAGCAGAGGAACGACAGGACTTGGATCCATGTCCAAACCTTTGGCAGTTGTAGCACCGGAGTGGATTGGGGACATACAACTCCACACCAATGCTACAATAACCAGCTCTAATCGAGACAGGAATGTTTGCTCGCGCGAACGTGAAGAGATAGGTGTTCGTTGGTTGAACAACACCATCCTTTTTTAAGGTAAATCGTTTGACGGCTGTGACGGATTGCTGAGAGAGTTCCTTGACAATTTGTTCTTCAGTCATGTCAGACAGGCATCGAGCTCTGTCCCGTACAATGCCTGTACACGAATTAAGGGTTTTGTGTGCTGAGACAGCGACCTTGATATTTACAAATTCTTGTATTTTGAGGAGATTCAAGGATTGTTGTTTCCGGGTACATTCTATCAGGAGAGAGCCAGATCGGAGCTTTGTGACATTGGCAACCTCTCCGCAGATACCAGTTATACCTTTGGAGATTGCAAAAAGGGTTCAATTGCAAAGGTTGCTTGTCACAAGCCTCAATAATCAGGAAGCGTGGCCAGTAGTCAGGTCGGGGGGGCGTACTCTCGTCAGACGAGGAATTGGCGGTATCCATGTGTCTTCGTTTTGAACCGGGGTATTGGGAAGCCATGTCGTGGGTAATGTGGTTCGGCATCCCCTCTCCCCACCCACCGTGGAGTGTCAACAAGGACGATCTTATATTGCAGCGGATCTCCAAGCTGCAAAGACCAAGGATAAGGGGGATGTTATACTCCAGCGAATTAGACATGAAATGCTGTAGCTGCCTACCAGATTAAAGGTCAGGATGGTTCTGTCCATGACAATCAATTGGAGACGTACAGAAATCGGAGGTCAGCATCACCAGATTGGCCCATGAGCCACCGCCTTCTGTGCATGGGTCTGCGAGGCTAAATTGTTTCGTAGAGTATTTGTTAACATTTTGAACATGGTCAAAAGTGTTATGTAATACCACGTTTTGTATAGACATTCCATGCACAGGGCAAGGCGTGACCAGCCGATTGGTAGAATCGGGCCTATTCTACCACCCGTCTAGGCAAAGTTAGGGTCGAAGTGGTGTGTTGGATTATTGAACACTATTGCCGGTTCCGTCATCCTCAACCACCAGACTCCCTTCCTCTGCCGACACAGGGATGCAACCCACGGCAAACGGGTTGCCCAATTTGGTCGCCTCTTACGACCAGCAATGGGGTGCTGTGGACCTATTCGACCCCGGGCCCACACGGGGGCGAAGAGCCATTGGCGTTACCCAGCACCCACCGCGAGGAGGTTGCTCTTCAAGGAGTGCCGGCTCTCGCTGTGAGAAACTGCTAATTCCCTGCCCCATAAACACGTCACTCGCTGTGAGGAGCTGATTAATTTGCCCAATATATGCGTCTCTCGGCCTTAATGAGTAAATCATTGGTAGTTTAGATTAGTAACTTAGATTGTTAGTGGCTGTACCCTCAAAGGGGGTTAAAGTACTGTAACATGATTGTCCTCCTGAGAGGGTACGTAAGTCCCAAAACTTTCAAAGTAAAATATAACTTATCACATTTTAAACGTAGTATTTGTGTTATTTTAACTGTTGGCTAATTTTTCCTACAGTCGCCAGCGGCTGAAGGGACGGTGTTAATCCAGCTAGGATCCATGCAGGTAGCAAAAGTAATTTAAGTCCCCATGGTTCCTAGTATGGTGATCTACCTTCAGTTGTTGGCGATCTATAGCCCGTGTTGTATACTGTATTGTCTTCTTTTATTGGATTTTTTTAGCTTTGCTCGCTAGTTTTATATTCATATCTGTGATTCTCTAGTATTTTTACTGTCCATCGTCGACAGGTTTTAATCTTCCAAATGTTTTCACCTTCTATTCTATGGATTCTTCTCCTCACGATATGGCTGAGATATTGCCGATGTGACGTTAAATATTAACTCACTCACTCACATATTGTTTGAGAAAGACTGCACTTGTGCTTCCTAAATCTATATCCATAACCTACTAAAACTGACTTCGCCGTAGCATAGCCCTGGTAGGCTGCATTGGAGTTAAATGTAAACCATTTGATATTTTGATATTTACAACACTTAACAGTGCCATTTATTATAGAGATTGACATTTATCTCTATCTATCTGTCTGTCTGTCTGTCTGTCTGTCTGTCTGTCTATCTAATTTATATAATGAAAAATTGAATTTGGAAAGTGGTATTGAATATGTAATTATCCTAGTATAGCTTCTTCTGGGTCTGAAATATTATATTATTTCCTTCTATTCAAAATTAAAAAACAAAACATCTTTAATTCTATACAATGCAGTCATTGTAGAAATGTGCATATATATATATATACGCACAAAATGTCCAAAGTAGTACAGGTGTTCAGTACCCGTGAAGATCCGGGGTAGAATAGGTCTTCAGCAACCCATGTGCTTGCCATAAAAAGCGGCTATCTTGTCGTAAGAGGCGACTAACGGGATCGGGTGGTCAGTTTCGCTGACTTGGTTGACACATGTCATCGGTTCCCAATTGCGCAGATCGATGCTCATGCTGTTGATCACTGGATTGTCTGGTCCAGACTCGATTATTTACAGACCGCCGCCATATAGCTGGAATATTGCTGAGTGCGGCGTAAAACTCAACTCACTCACTCACTACAGGTGTTCAGTCATAAATATTGCACAGATAAATAAAAACAGAATGCCTTTTTCTCCAACATGTTACGTTCTTTACTCTTCAGGGAGATTGTAGCGGTTACAGTATGGTAACTGTACTGTAACCGCTACAATCTCCCTGAAGAGTAAAGAACGAAACATGTTGGAGAAAAAGGCATTCTGTTTTTATTTATCTATGCAATATATATATATATTTTTGGTGCATGGTGCATGATATATTCAATGACTATGGATAAATGGTGGATGTGTGTGTGTGTGTGTGTGTGTGTGTGTGTGTGTGTGTATCTACCATTTATCCATACAGTCATGCACCATAAACCTTTACAGATATAGAAATGTAGATTTCAGTTATGCTCATGTTTAACATTCTATCCATCGTATTTGAACATTGGTTACATATGTAGGTGATGATTGACATCATCTGTCCGTTACTGTTATTTTACAAGTATTTGTTAATTGTTAATTGTTTCTCACTTCCTATATACTCGCTAAATATTTGTGTTGTCAAAAATCCCATAATGTACGACCCGACGAAATTCACACGTTGCATAACAAGACTTTCACATTTCGCACACCACTTCTGGTCCCTCCCGTACTAAATTACATGAATGCAGCCTAATCGGCCGGAATACGATAGAGATTTGTGTACATATACAATGGAAATATACTGCAGGTTTAAAAGTGTGATATTCAGACATTTAGTGCCAGACTTAAATTGCCGGTTGCAAAACATTCAACAAAACGACAAAACATGACCTGAAAACGATCTTCGAACGTCCCTTTCGCGATTCATTATTGTTATTGGTTAACAGTCTCTAAGTGTAATAGTAACACGTACAGCTCCCGTCGCGCATAGGACAAGCGCTGTCAGTTTAAGGTTGGACCGTCCGGATCAGCGCAACTAGCGGATTAGTGAAGGGAACATAAATTCCAAAAGATATGTTTGAGAAATTCATTGTTGTAATTATTCATCTCTTCTGTTTTTGCAGTGACGGGAATCCGGAAGAGGAAGAAACATTCTGAACAAAATCCCACACAGGTATATATGTTTGGAATGTTTGGACGTTATCTCCGATCAATACATGTGGGTTAATTATTTATGCCTCATAATGTTCTAACGTAACAATCGTCAAATGTTGCGATGAGGTCCAAGAAATATTCAACCAAGCATTTTATCCCTCAGGGTTATCGTATTACAGAGGTAGAACATTGTTCATATCTATGTTCAATGACGTTTTGCCTAAACTATAGATGAAACCACTGAATACTTCGGGTCTGCCTCTGTATGTGCGTTAGTTAACCGTCCGATGTTTTAGGAGTATATACTTATCAAACTCATATTGAACAGAAACAATTCTTACGAATAGACCCCTTTAACACCTGAATGTCTTATTTCATGAAACATGTTTCTGATCGACAGGTCTAACTTGAAAAAAAAATAAACACCCATCATATTATGTTGTCTTATTTCATAGTGGTGTGGTAGAATTGGTATAAAGTAATTGTTAACAGTAGTGTAAATTGGGGGATGGCAGCTTGGGAGATTTACCGTAATAGATTTATCAGTACCTGATTGTCATGTAGCCATTGTCTCACTTATGCGGGATCTTTTGGAGTTGATTCGTTTGGGAGGATAAAGAGTGTATGACATACGTACACCACATGGCGAGGGCCTGTGCGGCCAAATTGGCGGTCAGGTATGTGACTGAGGCACGTGACTTGCCGATTGCCTTGGCGGGTCCAACGGCACGGACTTTCCATGACGATTCCCATCGTTCCACCGTCAAATGTCAATTCATGGCATTACTATATAAGTGACCTGGCTTTCAATGTCAGTTGTCTTGTTGCGGTGATCCGTACAGGTACCATACACCGATAGGTTCCCGAGGTCTTGTCATCAAAACTCCCTCCTTGTCACTTGGGCCTTGTAGTTAGAGTGGGACGGGAAAACAAAGTATACTAGGCACATAAAGAAACTGTGCATTGTCAAAATATTATCCCAGTTAATAAGTACGATAACAATGTCAAAGGTACATATGAACTGTAATGGAGGGACCATGAGACCATAACAAGTCGGGAGAATTTCAACTGAAAAGTTAATCACAATGACGTCACGAGTCCACAAGCGGGACAGGGGTCAAAAGACCATGTCACAAGCTCAATAACGGGTATGTCCACCATCGGCTTTGAGAACAGCAGTGCATCGACGACGCATAGAGCCTATCAAACGTGCAAGGAAGGCTTGTGGGATGCCACGCCAGATTCTCTCAAGTTCTGTTGCAAGGTCAAGGACGTTATCTGGCGGATGAGGAAGACGGCGTAGACGTCGATCCATCTCGTCCCAAACATGTTCTATCGGGGAGAGATCCGGTGAATTTGCAGGCCAAGGCAGTAAGTCAACGTTGTGGTGTTGCAAGAAATCCATAGCAACCCTTGCCGTATGAGGGCGGGCATTGTCCTGTTGGAATGTTAACCCAGGGCCTTGACGTTGCAGGAAAGGAATCGCCACAGGTCGAAGAATCTGATCCCTGTAGCCCACACCAGTTAAGTTGCCCTGAACAATCACCAAAGGAGTTCTTTGGCGTGCTGTTATTCCACCCCAAATCATCACGGAACCACCACCAAAGCGATTCCTCTCCAAGACACAGGCCTGTGCATAACGTTCTCCCACGCGTATAGGCACGTTGACGTCCATCACTATGGGAAATGTTAAACCTGGACTCATCTGTAAAAACAACATTTCTCCACCAAAACAAGGGTCTGCGGACATGATTTCGCCACCACATTCGGCGAGCTTGTCGATGACGTTGTGTCAGGATAGGCTGTATGGCGGGACGTCGTGGTCTGATCCCGTGATGACGTAAACGTTGTCGAAGTGTGTTGGGGTGGATACGGCGAAGTCCTGGGATGGTCCGCGTCAGTCATCACTGCAGTCTGAAACCTGTGGCGAAGATTGGTCACTCTTATCCATCTGTCCTGTCTTGGCGTTGTGACACGTGGACGTCCAGAATGTGGCCGATCGATGACGTCATTTGTGTTCTGGTAGCGTCTCACCAGTGCAGAAATGGTGTTCCGGTGGCAGTGGAAATGTGCAGCCACTTGTCGTTGAGACATTTCCCCACGGACCATCCCAATGGCCTCATGACGTTGTGCAGACGTGAGCCTTGGCATGCTATGCGTTTCAATAGCCGTTTAATTGTGAGAACGATCGCAAGGGCAGGGGTTGAGCTTTCCAAAGTGACAGTATTGTGTTGCATTCATTTTCTCTGTTTCTCTTTCCCGGACTGAGCGTGCAACAACGTCTTGCACGTCTCAAGGACGAAACCACTGACATCACGGAACGTGGCACGTGCATGCATGTTGGATACATATCACTAATCTCTGAGTTTAAATCCTTATGTGTCTACACAGGTTTGATAAATTTTGATTTTAAATTTTTGTATGCACAGTTTCTTTATCTGCCTAGTATATTTAGGATGAGTTAATGTTCGGTTGGGAAGGGAAACAATTAGTGTAGGAAGGAATCTGTTAAGCGTTAGGAATTAAAGGGCATATAGAGGTTGGTAATTAAAGGGGTAGGTCGGGAGGATAATAGTAAAAGTTTAGAAAGTAAGTTCCAGTTGAGTGACTGAGTAAGATGTTGTTTCGATACGTTTTTGTATATTTTCAATAAACTCTCTTCTATTACAGATTTTTGTGTTATTCTTCATGTGTTTGAAGTCCAATATTAGAACTGAAATCTGAATTACAAACAATGGGGATGGACAACAATATTCTCACAGTCCATAAAATCACACAACGCAAAGTCTAAGGTTGTCTGTTACCATCTCCCCACACTGTTTGAATCCCATAATTCAGCTGTCACTGGGTGCTCCCCAGGGGGCGCCTATTACAGTGGCCTTCTCAAGCTCTATCCACTGGAGTTCTCTTCCAGCAACGTGCACGGAGAAACCTCATAAGTTTGCCTGTGGCACAAATGTGTTCTCTGTTAAACTGTTCTAACTTTCCCAGGATTTTAGATTTTTCACTTTTGGGTTCATTTCTTTTTTAATTTGCGGTAAGCGTATGTCTCCTCACGATCCTCATGATGACAGTGGCAAATGTGTGAAGACGCCATGTTCGGAGCTGGTGTTAATAGCCTTTCAGTCACACCCTAAGCCTAAAATACACTTTCGCAGATAAAGTTGCAGCCCTAGAAGTTAAATTGCATGATTCGATGCCCCGATGTAAAGTCACGCGTAGATTCAACAGCCTGAAGCTCCCATGTTAAAGATGAGACAGAAACGTAAATTCGGACATAGCCCGTGACACACTGCAGATGCTTCGCTGCTGCTTACATCACGTGGCTATTGTGGTGTTCGATTCTCAAGCCTTGTTAGCTAACCTCGGGGCTCAGTTCACTCTCTTACGAATATATCATCATCGCTATCAGCTATGCTCCTCATGCTTTTTTCTAAGCCACTTGATGATCAGCTGTTCAATGGCAAGTGTGAGGAAGAGCTTGAATTTCTAAAGTCAATAGGAATAGAAAGTGTCACAACTTTAGTTTCCTCCAGCTCCAGCTAGTCAAGTCCTATTGTCAAGAGTTGAGTTGAGTTGGGCTTTACGTCACATCGGCATTATTCCAGCCATATAGTGACGAGAACGAGTCTGCATTAATATACATTGTAAGTACAAAGTCAAAAATAGTTTTGTTTCAAAGATACACATTCATTAAATTGTCATTTTAAAACAGAGAATGTCATAGCACTAAATTTAAAAGCAGGCAAATTCGTTAGTCACATTACACAGCTACAATTTATGATAGAGATCAACTTCCCTCAGGTAGTTCACTATCAGATGAGCGCTCACGTGGGAGAACAGATCTTTCAGATTTGTTGCATGATAATGCGAGTCCCTTGCAGATGTAAACTCCACACAGTCAAGCAGAATATGTTTGATGGTGAAAACCTCATCGCAAGAGACACATATGGGGGGTCCATCCCCATCCTTTTTCAGCAGATAGTCATGTGTACACCGACTGTGGCCAATACGACATCGTCGTAAAATTACCTCATCACATCTTGACTGACTACCCAAGTAGGTATAACCAATTGTTGGCTTCAATTCATGGAGTTTCATCTCAGAAATATCTTTGCTGTCCCTTGGAGATTATTCCAATTGCGAGTTCTACTCATGGGAATATCAGTGGCTCCATGGCTACAGATATTCATGGATATATAGATGATTTCCTGTATCCAAGTGTCGATGTAGACTCTAGACGACTCCCTATATCTGAGAGATTTCTTTCTAGTTCCTAGTGCATTCAGCAAAATCACAACTTTAGCCCAGGAAGGAAACGAAATATATAGGGGCCATATTCAACACTCATCAAGATAATGTTTATCCACCGTTGGATCAATCAACATCGAGGGAAACAGCTAGACTCTGTCATTATACCTACGGATCTTGTGCTAAAGAACCTTGTATGGTTGATAAACTCTGATAATGTCATTCACAGGACTCCAATCAGGACGTTGTCACCAGATCGACATTTCTTCGCAGATGCTTCAATCACAGGTTGGGGAGCTCATCTATAAGACAAGAGGGCATCAGGTCTCTGAGGAGTTACATTCCCCAGTTCATATCAACATCTTAGAGATGAGAGAGGTCTTATTAACCATCTAGCACTGGACACAAATACACAGTCGTTCCTCACTTCTAGTTGTCACGAACAACACCATTGTTGTCCATATTAACAGACTTGAAGGAACCAGCACTTAACTATATTTAAAAACATCCTAAATATAAACAATATATCATATTTTCAGATTCTCTTTCTTGCCTTCAGGCTATTAAAAAAAATTTTTTCTTGCAAACATCCACTTTTATTAGAAATTATTGAATTATACAATGAGCTTGCTACTAGCCAGTGCAACATCGTCCTCTGTCGGTTACCCAGCCATGTTGGAATCTCTGGTAACACATGAATGGCTGACTTTGCTGCCAAGGCAGCACTCAACAAATCGGTAACACCACTTCTTATTCCATACTCTGATTATAAACCTAACACCAGATCTTATATCCGTGATCTGATGCAGAAGAAGTGGGACACTCAAGTAGGTGTTAATAAATTACATGAAATAAAACCTTATATTTGTTATACCTACTTGGGTTGCCAGTCCAGATTTGAAGAGGTCATCATACGATGATGTCGTATTGGCCACACAAGATATATTCATGAATACCTATTGAAAGGTGAGGATCCTCCGTTTTGCATCCCTTGTGATGAGAGAATCACGGTCAAGCATGTCCTGCTTGACTGTGTTGAATATTCCATTACAAGGGATAACTATTTCAAGTCAAGAACTATGAGGGATCTTTTTAATAATGTCAGTTCTCATTTTATTATTGCCCTTTTAAAAGAATTAGATTTGTTAAATGATTTGTAAATAGATGCATTTTTTATTATTGGTAGTTTAAATTAGTACCTGAGATTGCTAGTGGCTGCGGCCTCAAAGGGGGTTGAAGTAGCGTAAAATTATTGTCCTCCTGAGAGGCTACGTAAGTCCAGAAAAATCATGCATCATAGTGGACAGACACATCCCAGGAAAGATCAACATCCTTCCATATGCGTTACCATACCTGGACAAGATTCTAACAACATAATGGACACTTAATTCGAATGCTTTCAGGCAGATAGCGATCAAATAGAAACAGTCTCACATAAATCTTTTCGCGCCCCTGTAGAGCAATCTCCTCGTGATGGGTGCTGGGTAACACTAATGGCTCTTCGCCCCCGTGTCCACAGCACCCCATTGCTGGTCGTAAGAGGCGACCAAATTAGGCAACCTGTTCGCCGTGGGTTGCATCCCTGTGTCGGCAGAGGGAGGGAGTCTGGTGGTTGAGGATGACGGAACCGGCAATAGTGTTCAATAATCCAACACACCACTTCGACCCTAACTTTGCATATGGTATTACTAAACACTTTTGACATGATGAAAATGTAAACTGGAATTTTCCCAACACCAAATAGCCTTGCAGGCCCATGCACAGAAGGCGGTGGCTCATGGGCCAATCTGCTGAAGCCAACAATTGGTTATACCTACTTGGGTAGTCAGTCAAGATGTGATGAGGTAATTTTACGACGATGTCGTATTGGCCACAGTCGGTTTACACATGACTATCTGCTGAAAACGGATGGGGATGGACCCCCCATATGTGTCTCTTGCGATGAAGTTTTCACCGTCAAGCATATTCTGCTTGACTGTGTGGACTTATCGTCTGCAAGGGACTCGCATTATCATGCAACAAATCTGAAAGATCTGTTCTCCCGCGTGAGCGCTCATCTGATAGTGAACTACCTGAGGGAAGTTGATCTATATCATAAATTGTAGCTGTGTAATGTGACTAACGAATTTGCCTGCTTTTAAATTTAGTGCTATGACATTCTCTGTTTTTAAATGACAATGTAATAAATATGTGTCTTTGAAACAAGACTAATTTTGACTATGTACTTACAATGTGTATTCATGCAGACTCGTTCTCGTCACTATATGGCTGAAATAATGCCGATGTGACGTAAAGCTCAACTCAACTCAACTCAACTCTTTGCGACATCAGTTGCCGACTTATATCAGTCTTGTCCCATATCCTCCAGCTTACGCAGTAGATATCATGCCTTTCCACCGACGGCAATCTTAATACAAGTCCTTGTCAAGATGTAGTATGATGATCTACCTTCAGTTGTTGGCTATCTGTAGCCTGTTTTTATATTGTATCGTCTTGTATAGTTAAAATGTTTTAAAATTAATTACTAATTTTAAATTTACATCTGTGATAAACTAGTTGTTTTACTGTCCTTCGTTGATAAGTTTTTACCTCTAATTTACAGCTGTTACGCAAACACTGAGAGCTTCAAATCTGTTTATATGACTACAAATAGGATCGATTTCTATTTGTGGTCATATAACTCTGAGAATCCGAAACTACCAATGGACCTATAACGTCGCATATGATTCTGGTTGTGTTATACATCTCAAAGATTATCGCTGAGCACTAGCATCTGTTGTTACCAAGCTAGGAATACATGTTGGGAAGGATCCAGGTCTTAACATGAATATTTGAACTAGAGGATATCCCCAAACAACGCATAACTACAAAACGTTATTTGTGGTTTATCAGAAATTATTATTACACCATCCGTTTGAACCTATTGCAAAACAACTTTTCCTCCTATTGCTTGGAAGACTGCATTCCTTGTGGCACTGGCCAAGGTTTCACAGATTACAGACCTGCATGCCCTGGGCGTTGGATCGGTTGCATTCCCGAAAACCCTTTCAGAGTTGGCTTCATCATCAAGACACTTAAATGAGTAATATACACCCGATGAACTGTAGGTGAAAATAGCTTGTACTGCCACTGTAGATTCCCTTGAAGAAATCAGTTTTAGTTTGTAAATTTAGTTAATGTCAGAATACAGTTGTTAACTGCAAACACTCCTTTCTTGTTTGCTTCACTCTAAAACGATTTCTGGTTAACGTATTGTTCAACATGTGACAATGGTTATACAATCGCTAAACATTCCATCATCATGAAGTACTGCATGTCATGTCCTGCAAATGGATCAAAAGAGACAATTGGTCACAAGTTCACATTATGAGATTGTTATTTCAGTTATGATAAAGGAAGGTATGTCATTCATGCGTAAACAAGATATAGCTACTGCGTGTACTTGTCTTGAAGGCTGAACGCTTATTTGTCACCGTAGTGCAGGTAATTGCACAACTCGTATTCAAATTGTAAATTGTTGTGTGTTTTTTCAGCCTTTGGTGGACAGTCTTCCTCATGCCTCTCTGGGGGACTATGCTTCTGTCACACCATCAATGGACTCACTAAAGAAATCGGTTTCTGATACATCACAGGAGGGTGTTGCTTCTCTTAGTTCACAGGACTCGCCAGAGGATTTATCTTCAGAAAGATCAGGCTCTCAGATAACAACACTGGAGGAAACTCATGACTGTAAGTGACAGAAAGCTTTGAGACATTGTCCACAGGGCGACTACAACTGAGTGTTTTTCACATTCATAACTACAGTCATAGTTGCAGAAAACTATTTCTGAAATGAATTTACAAAGTAGGCTAAACTCTGATTGAACATGCCAGAATTGGACAGTTTGAACCTTTACATGATAGCTTAAGCAATGCGTATTGGAACTTGGAAAAACATAAACAATTACCATGATAATGAATGTTATCTTTGATGTCGGTTTAATGACAATAGTACTTATGACAAGAACGGTGTTCAATTGTAAAATCGTAAAAGTTATGGCGACTCTGCCATGACTGTGCTGTGTGACGATTCTGATCTGAATATAAGAGAATCTTAGTTCTAAGAGAGCTCCGAAAATCTTGGCCTAGGTCTTCTGAACTTTTCCCAGGTGTATAGTAAGTAGGAGTTCAAAGAGAAAATCCCATGGTCACCATCACTGTCGTTATATCATAACAAAATGATATAATACCATTATGAAGATAATGTGATTTAATATTGCAACTCATAAATCCTGACATGGCCAAAGCCAAGTACCAATGTTACACATTATGAATTACAGACCTACCTTGTTTTAAACCATTCTGTTTCTGTGCCCATGCAGACATCAGCAGGAATTGATCCCATTGATCGATTCTAAGTTGCCAAGTTCGAATGTCTCATTAATACTGATGTTGTGTAGGCACATTATGTTAATTGAAATGAGTAAGAGCTATTGTTCACTACTTATTTGTAGTTTTTATTATATTAACAATACGGTTTATTTGTGGTTCAATTATATTATCCTGCAGGTTTTGAGGACGCAAAGAAGCTTACAAAAGACTTGGATATCGTGGAAAAGGTAACACACATTTTGCATTGTTAAATCAAATTCATCAGAATACAAACAAAATGACATTCAGCTGCTGCAAAAAATGTACGGGCTAGTGTGTGTTGCTTTAGATATCGAAACGCTGACTTTCAGTAGTTACTAGACATTTTAGCAGATGAAACACAAAATGACTATTTTGTACAGTGTGACGTGAAACGTTTTTTTTTTTTTTCTTTTTCTATGATAATGCATGATATACTTCGGAGTGAACGTCTGTTGTCATTGTCATTGGAAACCATGGAACAGACAGGTTTAAAAATAGTTGACCTTAACTGCTGCAGTTGCAGTATTCCAATAACATTTTTGTAACACAATCACTACTAGATGCCTACTGAAGTCGAATGTATAACCCGGAATACAGATGACCAATTAAGAAGCTGACTAATCGTCCCATTCCCTTGCTCCCTGTGCCCTTCAACAGACGCACAAGCGTGCATATAAGTACATGCATGCGCGCGTACCTCCATACACATGTAAACGTGTGTGCGCGTTTTAGGATGGCTAATATTTTCTGTTTGTTTCAGGAGGACAAAAACATTGTGCAGCTAAGTCCTCTATATGCAGGTATGGAGTTTAAATACATTCAGTCTTTGATCATTCGTGCAACTGTTGAAATGTGAAAATCAGAAGGTGGTGGATAATATTTCTTTCCATTCCTCAGCTGAGAGGCAAAACCCATTACATTACTTGAGCCGGATCATAGACAGCCTTTCAAGGTTTAGAGAACAGTCAAGACTTGATACGGTAAGTGTTTTTGGTGTCAAGACAAAGGGATGACAGATTTACAACATTTGTCAGTAGAAAGGTCTTTGGGTTGCTGATGATTAACTTAATCATCACAAGGACGTTATAAACTCTTACCTCATAATAATATCTCTGTAAAGATGTAGACGTAACATTTCACTTTCATTGCCATACAGATGATTCCAGATAACAAAGCAGCCATAGCCCAACATGTAGGAATTATTCTGTCTGTGGAGCAAGGTTGGTATAATATTGGACACAGGTCATTTTGAAAAATGTTAAAAGAGTAAATAATTTGAATTGACAAATAAAGATTACATTTCGTAGGTTGTGTCCACGTGTGTGGAAGTATTAAATCGCAAATGCTTTGAAACCACTCTTCTCTTTCTGCTACAATTACTATTTCGTAATATTACAAAGAAATGTTCATCTGGAAATAGTTTTGTTCAGCTTTTGCGAATAAAATCTTGTGACATCTTTTGTTTATGAGAGAGATGCTACATCTATAGCATACTTTAATGTCTGCATAGTTTTGCTATAACTCCTGAAGGTAACGTTTTGTACCTGAATTGTTATTTTAGGTGATCGACTTGTCTACGTTAAGGGAACTCCTGTTTTGTGTAAGTTCACTTTTTCCTTATGTGAAACAAAATATACACAACCAACATTTTATAAAAGGATATTTATATTTTATAACCCAACTGGAACACATTTATTATGGATTTCACCTTCAAGATTCATTCATGTCACCATTTGTTATGTTGTTGATCACGAGAGGGAAGATCGAAATATTAACTCTCTTAGGACTTATTCATGTAGAATTTTTTCATACACACAGCAAAAATGTTCTTTAAAAACTTCTTTTCCAACGTCTAACCTTTATTTTTCCGTATTTATCAACAAATGACAAAGGGGAGTTTACAACAACAGTAGATTGACAGATACGCTTTACCATGATTAGGGTATTTTTCGGTCTGTTACTGCTTACTACATGGGATAATTACAAAGAACTGTTCGTCTTTCTATGTGCCGATGCAGCACCCCTGAAGAGCAATCTCCTCGTGATGGGTACTGGGTAACGCTAATGGCTCTTCGCCCCCGTGTGAACCCGGGGTCGAATAGGTCCACAGCACCCCATTGCTGGTCGTAAGAGGCGACCAAATTGGGCGACCCGTTTGCCGTGGGTTGCATCCCTGTGTCGGCAGAGAAGGGAGTCTGGTGGTTGAGGATGACGAAACCAGCAATAGTGTTCCTTAATCCAACACACCACTTCGACCCTAACTTTGCATAGACGGGTGGTAAAATAGGCCCGATTCTACCAATCGGCTGGTCACGCCTTGCCCTGTGGTATACAAAATTTGGTATTACATAACACTTTTGGCATGTTCAAAATGATAACGGATATTCTGTCAAAACCAATCAGCCGCGCACACCCATGCACAGAAGGCGGTGGCTCATGGGCCAATCTGGTGATGCTGTCCTCTGATTTCTGTACGTCTCCAATTGATTGTCATGGACCGAACCATCCTGACCTTTAATCTGGTAGACAGCTGCAGCATTTCATGTCAAATTCGCTTGAGTATAACACCTCCTTATCCCCAGTCTTTGCAGAGCTCGATGCCTGTCTGACATGACTGAGGAACAAATTGTCAAGGAACTCTCTCAGCAATCCGTCACAGCCGTCAAACGATTCACCTTCAAAAAGGACGGTGTTGTTCAACCAACGAACACCTATCTCTTCACATTCGCGCGAGCAAACATTCCTGACTCGATTAGAGCTGGTTATTGTAGCATTGGTGTGGAGGTGTATGTCCCCAATCCACTCCCGTGCTACAACTGCCAAAAGTTTGGACATGGATCCAAGTCCTGTCGTTCCTCTGCTGTTTGTTATCACTGTGGTGACAAGCATAAGGGCAACGACTGTACTAAGGAAGTGAAGTGCACAAACTGCTGTGGTAACCATATGGCCTCTTCCAAGTTTTGCCCAGTGTGGCAAAAAGAAAAAAGAAAATATCTCCTTTCATGAAGCAAAGAAGAGGGTTACAAGTTTAACTGCAGCCCCTTCAACCATCACCTACTCTGCTGCTGTCTCCCGTCCTTCTATCACTACTGCAACAATCTCATGTCAAACCGACCTGACATGGATCATGTCTTCTCAGCCAACTCAACTCAACACAACTCAGGCCATCTAAGCCACTCCATCTCCAACGCCAAAAGTCAAAACCTCTGAATCACAAACTCCAGAACAAATGCCAAAACCAGAAACAGAAACTGCGCAAAAAAAAGGGAAAAAAAGAGGCTAGAGAGACTAAAGCAACTCGAACAACCGCCAAACACAAAACCAAAGGCCACCTCTCCCTCAGACGTCCTCATCGAGGTCCATAACTGGCCCTCTGGATATGGAGGTAACTCCATCTCCACCAGACACCAATAGGAGTTCATCAAACGATTTCTCACGTTCACGTGACATGTCACCAGTGGAAGCACCATGAATCCACTAAACATGATTCAATGGAATTGCAGAGGACTTAAGAATAATAAATAATGAACTACAGTTATTGATTCAAGACTTCAAACCATCTGCGTTTTGTCTCCATGAAACCTACCTAAAAAAGACTGATAAATTTGACATCCGTCGGTACAGTTCCTACCACTCCTTTTCTCCTCCCGGTGTAAAAGCTACAGGAGGCACTTCTATCCTGGTGAGGCAGGGCATCCTCAATAGCCCTCTTCCATTTAACACCAACCTACAAACTGTTGCTGTCCGCATGACTCTGAACATAGGGTTTACACTATGTTCCCTCTATCTCCCTCCCACCTCAACTGTTCGCCTAACAGATCTTCAGAACTTATACGATCAACTCCCAAAGCCCTGCATAATCATGGGCGACTTCAACGGCCATAAACCCCTATGGGGGAGTACTGATACAAATAGTAAGGGAAAGGTCCTTGAAGAGTTTCTCTCCAATAATGATGTATGCATCTTCAACGATGGATCAAACACCTACCTCAATCCTGCCACTGGATCATACTCTCCTCTCGATCTATCACTTACAGATTCTAATCTTTTAAATGCGTTTGAATGGTTGGTCCATGATGACCTTTGTGGAAGCGACCACTTCCCAACAATTCTTACTCCTATCAACCCCACGGATGAACCACCATCAACAAGATGGAATTTTACTAAGGCCAATTGGCCTTTATTCCAAACCCTATGTTCAGAAAAACTTAAGCCAGACAACTTCAGGAATGTTCCTGACCCCATGGAACTATTTTCAGACGTCCTAAATGCCATCGGAGACAAAACTATTCCTAAGTCCTCTGCAAACCCGCACATACGCAAACCATGGTTTGATACAAACTGCAAACAAGCGAGGAAAAATAGGAAGAAGGCGGAAATATATTTCCGACAACATCCTACAGTGCATAACCTGAATGCTGTTAAAATGACAAATGCCAGGGCAAAACGTACCTTCAAACAAACTAAACGCCGGTCATGGAGGAAATATGTGTCCAAAAAATCAACTCCCGCACACCCATGTCCAAGGTGTGGAACATGATTCAAAAGATTAAGGGCAAAGGGTCAAAATCAGGAGTTCACCACCTGAAAGATGGTGACTCTCTCTTAACAAATAAATCTGAAATTGCAAACAAACTTGGCGAAACTTTGGCAAACCACTCCTCCTCATCAAATTATAACCCTCAGTTCAAGAAATACCAAACCCAACAAGAAAAGAAATCAGTCAATTTTAACTCTGATAATGGGGAGGATTACAACGAAACGTTTTCCCTCCATGAATTACGTACTGCCCTAGGACAGCATCACGACACTGCGGCAGGAGCTGATGAAATTCATTATCAGCTTCTGAAACACCTCCCTGACTCAAGCTTGGAAACACTACTAAATATATTTGATGACATCTGGACATCCGGACACTTTCCCCCCTTCGTGGCACAATGCCATTATCATCCCTATACCAAAACCTGGCCGCGCTCATAATAATCCCTCAAACTACCGTCCTATATCACTAACTAGGTGCGTTTGCAAAACCATGGAGCGCATGGTCAACAATGGATTAATCTGGTACTTGAAGACCAATAATCTCCTCAGTGACCTCCAATGTGGTTTTCTGAAAAAAACGAAGTACCATTGACCATCTGGTGCGTCTGGAATCATTCATCAAAAACTCCATTGTCAACAAACAACATACAGTATCTATCTTTTTCGACTTAGAAAAAGCATATGATACAACGTGGAAACATGGTATCCTAAAATATTTACACGAGTTTGGATTGAGGGGTAGACTACCTCAATTCATATCTCAGTTTTTAAACAACAGACAATTTCAAGTTCGGGTGGGTTCCACATTGTCTGATTATTTCCACCAAGATCAGGGCGTCCCCCAAGGCAGCACTCTGTCTGTCACACTTTTTAGCATAAAACCTAACAGCCTCACTAACGTTCTGAACAGTTGTGTTGATGGGTCCCTTTTCGTGGATGATTTCAATATTTCATGTCGTGGTAAGAACATGCACACAATAGAAAGGCAGCTACACCTTAACAAAATCCAAAAATGGGCCAATGAAAATGGTTTTAAGTTTTCAAAATCCAAAACAAATTGTATTCACTTTTGTCGTAAATACAAACCACACAAGGATCCAGATCTGTCTTTAGATGGTACTCCCATCAAGGTAGCAGAAGAGGCCAAATTCCTGGGACTCATATTCGACCGCCACCTGACATTCTTATCACACATAAAATATTTGAAAACAAAGTGCTTGAAGGCTCTAGACTTGCTAAAAGTAGTCTCAAATACAGAGTGGGGAGGGGATCAGACCACCCTCCTTCACTTGTACAGATCATTAGTTCGCAGTAAACTAGATTATGGCTCCATTGTCTTCGGTGGAGCCTGCAAAAGCAATTTAGAAAAATTAAACTCTATCCACCACCAAGGGCTGAGGCTCTGCCTTGGAGTTTTTAGGACCTCTCCGGTAGACAGTCTATATGCGGAAGCCAATGAACCTTCCCTTGAACAACACCGCATTAAACTCTCACTGCAGTATATCACTAAATTACGTTCAAATGAGTCCAATCCAGCATACAATTGTGTTTTCAACCCGCTCTATGAAAACTTGTTTCCTAAACTGCCAAGCCTGGTTCCACCACTTGGAATCAGGATCAAACCACATATATCTGCAGCTAAAATTGATCTCAACATCATTGCACCTTACCGACTTCTGTCCTCACCACCATGGCAAATGGTGAAACCACAGGTCGATCTCACCCTCACCAAACTCAAAAAGTCTGAAACAAATCCTTTGGTGTTCCAACAGGAATACAACCAGTTACGTTCAAAGTATAACACCCATAGATCCATTTTCAATGACGGATCCAAGGACGATGGCCAAGTTGCCAGTGCTACAGTCATTGGATCCAAGACTGTCTCCTCTAGGATCTCCGACAACAGTTCCATTTTCACCGCTGAAGCCAAAGCTATCTTCTCAGCTTTGACCTACATTCAACAGCAAAAACATTCCAAAATCTTCATCGTTTTTACAGATTCACTATCCTGCCTTCAAGCACTACAAAATGTGACTTCAAGTCACCCAATCATCCTGG